TCTCAGGATTGGGGGCCAAGGACCCTTTCTTGTTGCTCCCTCTTCCCATATTTTTTGCTCCTTCCATACAAGCGTATATAGGAGGCCCAGTTTCTTTCTTTGTAGGTTACAGTTTTTTTGAATTGTGCCAGCTAGGTGTTCCCGCCCACTGCAGTGTACTAGGGAGACACAGACCTGGGCAGCCTATGCTGGGCCCACCCCTCCAGGCCAACCTACCGAAGGCTTCATTTTTTTTTTTTTGTCTTTTTCATTTTTATCAGTACCAGGGATTGAACTCACAACCGCCTGCTTGCATGGCAGGTGCTTACACCGCTGAGCTAAATCCCCAGCCCCCACTGAAGGCTTCACTGCTAGGGTGCACCTCCAGGCGCTGAGACCTGGTTTGGGCTAGCCTACTGGGTCTTAAGTCAGCGGCGACACCAAAGCCAGGCACTCCCTACCAATCCTGCTTGAGAGGGGAATATGCGACTAAGGACACTGCAGCATCCTCTTCTGGCTAGTCTGCCCGGTCCCAGTATGTTCTTTGCTGAAGCCTGCTACTCTATGGAAGTGTCCCTGATCCCCTCACTCACCGCAGGTCAATCCAGGGCTCCTGGCCAGTCCCACTCTCAACTCCATTTGCCGCTTCCCACTCTCAGAGCTTTCGCACCTCTCTCCTTGCCATGCCAATTGGGGCACAGCAGCAGCTGCAAGAAATTCAAATTGTGGCTTCCAGTGGTGCGGGCTCCAGCTTCTGCACTGAGACCTTATCTGTTCCTGTTATAGCACCGGGATTGCGTTTCCAGTTGGTTTCTTTTAGTTTAGTTCATTCCTGGGTCAGCAGGGTATATCTCCCCTTGCTTAGGACTTCTCGTCCTGCACCATTCCTGGATTTTAAGTGGGATATCTCAGAGAGCCTCCATAGCTGCTGCTTCCTATCTGCCATGTTCTCCCAGAAAGTTCCTGATTTTAGAGTAAAAGCTTTCAGTTTTTGTCCACATGGTATGATGATGGCTGCTGGTCTGCCACAGTGACTTATTGGGCTGAGATACTGACTATCCTGGTTTCCTGCAGGGTTTTATTATTATTATTATGAATGGGTACTGAACTTTGTCACAAGCTTTTTCTGCATCTATTTAGATGATCATGTGGTTTTTGTTCTCAGCTCTGTTAATGTGGTGTATTACATTTATTGATCTATGTATGTTGAACCATCCCTGGGGTGAATTCAATTGGATCATGGTGTATAATCATCTTGATTTGTCAAAGTCTGATTTTTTTTTTCTTTTTATCGGTACCGGGGATCAAACTCCACACTGTCTGCTTGCAATGTAGGTGCTTATGCCGCTGAGCTAAATCCCCAGCCCCAAGCCTGATTATTTTTGTCTTTAAACCTAGAGTCATGTTTCATTTCCCCAGTCCACATTCCTTTGTGTAAAGGCAGTCTGGATCCCCAATGCTGCTGCTTTACACAGCTGATCTTGAGAGGGATCAACACGAGAGCAACCTGAGTACTATTTAGGTCTGACTTTTTTTCATTTTTGAGATAGGATTTCACTATGTAGCTCATGCTGGACTATACTGTGTATCCCAGGCTGGCCTCAGACTCATAGCAGTCCTCCTACCCCATTCTCCCAAGTGCTGGGAAAACAGACATGTCCACCACACCTGGATTTATGCAAGTTGGACTGGATTGGTCAAAATAGGGCATTTAGGAAATTCCAATTAGAAGTAAGCCAAAGACTTCTGGGACATGAAAGGATACCAGATAAGCAAGTAGAGTGAGTGCAGTGTGACTGGGGCTTTGGTCTCATTTGGGCCCCTGAGGACAAGTTTTCCTGAGCTGGAAACTCCCTCCTCCATGACTTAGTGTGTGAACCTGAGTCTCAGCACTGCTGGGCTTCCAGCAAAGGATTCATAACTCTCTTTCCTGGCCCAGCAGTTTTTGTTTTTTAAAAGAGTGTGCCATAAAAACAACCTTTAGTGTTAAAAGATGGTGAATGAGTAGTATTTCTTCTTAGGGTAAGTATTATTCTCAACATTAAAAAAATAGTTGTAAATCAAACGTTTATCACTGAATCCACAATGAAGTATAGAGATAAGAATTCCAGTTCAAAGTTAGGATGGTAGTCTCTTCTGCATCCCAAAATCTCACTGACATGCCCGTGTGTGTGTGTGTGTGTGTGTGTGTGTGTGTGAGAGAGAGAGAGAGAGAGAGAGAGAGAGAGAGAGAGAGAGAGAGAGAGAAAAGGCTTTGCTCATGCTGTGCAGTTCAGAGTGGCCTTGAACTCACTAGGTAGCCCAGGCTGGCCTCAAACTCAAAGCAATCCCCTTCTTCAGCCTTTGAAATGCTGAGATAACAGGCATATGCCACCATACCTGGCTAAAATGTTCTTAAATATTTTAATTTCTTAAAAAAATATGACAGGGGGGCTGGGGATTTAGCTCAGCGGCATAAGCGCCTGCGTTGCAAGCAGACAGTCGTGAGTTCGATCCCCGGTACCGATAAAAAGGAAAAAGACAAAAAAAACGACAGGAGCTGGGTATGATGACATCACCTATAATCCTAGCACACATGAGGCTGAGGCAGGAACTCACAGGAGGCCCTGAGTTCAAGGCCAGCTGGAGCTACATAGCAAGACCTTGGTCTCCAAAAACAACAACAAAGACAGAAACCAAAGACTCAACTGAGAACATTTAAGCCAAGTGTGGTGGCATATGCTTGTCCAGTCCTTTGACTGGACTGTCAAACTGCTTGCTAAATGAATAGTATATAGTACGTACATTACAATATTCAGAACCAAGACATGGTCAAAGAAAACTCGAAGTTGATGACTTTGCTCCCACTTGCACAACTCTTACATGAAGAGTTATGTATGTATTATAATGTATACCACAACGTAAAAGTATAGGACTGGGTGGTACAATCAGCAAAAACCACACTACTGAACTACAGAAGAAGCCAGCATTAGGCTGCACTGCTGCCTGCATTCATGCACTTTAAATCCAAACACAGGTTTTAGGTCCAAACAGTGCCTTGGTCATGAGTCTGAAAGTCAATTAATTACATGAGGACTAGCTGTATCACTTTTGCGCTAAACAATTTTTATTCTTTGCTTTTTTAAAATCAGATTTTATTGGTACATTTTTATATACACAGTGATCACATTCATTGTAAAGAATTTGTACCTGCACATGATGTAAGTTGACTTTTTTCCCATTCCCCTCCCCTCCTTTCAGCCAATCTTCCCTTCCCCATTTATAAAAGCTATTTTCCTTCTCTTCTCATTTTTTAAATTCTTTTTAGTTTTCCCTTATTTCTCTTCCCCTTTCTTTATTCCCCTCCCCATTTCCTATTTTTTTTTTAAAGACAGGGTCTCACTATGTAGTTCAGATTGGCCTTGAACTCACACCACACCTCCTGAAGGTTATTTTTTTAAGCTTATAGTATGGAAACTTTCATGTACACAAAGTAAAATATTGTAATGAACCTATATGCAACATCTGTGAGAATGGATATGTAGCTCAGTGGCTCAGCATCTGCCTGCCAAGCACGAGATCCTGAGTTCAATTTCTAGTATAAAAAAATATTTGTCACGATTTTGTCTTATTTCATTTTCATTCCTTCTGCCCACTTAGTAATATTTCTATGGCAGACTGTCTCATCAGTATCTTTAGTTTTTTCATTTGGTTGGTTTTTGGGAGTTTGATTTGTTTGTTTGAGACAGGGCCTGTGTAGTCCAGGCTGGCCTTGAACTCGGAGCCATCCTGCCTCTGCCTCCCAAGAGCTGGGATTACAGTTATGTATCACCATGCCTGGTTCAGTACTTTTTCAACAAGGGAATGTGTAAACATACAATCACAATGCCACAGTCACACCCAAGAAGATTAATACTCCCTGAATCTCAACTAATACTCATTGTGTTTTCAAATTTCCCCAAAGTCTGGGAAGGTAGATGGAGACAAACATACAGTATCAAATCTAGGAGAGGGAGTTAGAGTACAGGAAGAGCAGGAGCCTGGCACCTCCACCATAGCTGACCTCACAGCTATGGATGACACTGCCAGGGCAGTTTATGTAGTTACTGTGAAGCAACTGGCCAAATATGACATCAAAACAAATTTCTGTGGACTATAAATACCTGTGAATCTATGTGTGTGTCCCTGAACAAGCCTAACTCACTGGCACCACACTACAGATACCAGTGGTTGACTGTCTGCTGTGCCAGGGCACTTGCCTGGCAATACTACGTTGTCTCTGTTAATCCTTAAAATTTTCAAGGTAAATACTGCTAAATCCCAAAGACCAGACAGAAAAATCAAACCCAGAGTTTCAGGATCATGCTGAGGTCAGACACCTTAGGAAACAAAAGTGATTCTGATGACCCCACTCTGCCTACAAATCTGGAGAGTGTGAAAGCACTGAGACTCAGGACCATGGCTACTAGGACTCTGAAGCAAGGATGTGGCTGCATCTTCTGCCCTTAGGGCCACCTGGTGCAACCTGCCACTCTGAGCAGCAGGAAAGCGTGCTTGGCCTGAAGCACTTAGCCTGACCCACCGAGTCCCTCACCAGGAGGACGCCTGCAGGTCTACAGGGAGCCACAGGGGCAGATCCGGGAGGAGAGCTCCAACCATGGGCACTGACCCTCATGCCCTTCAGCCCATATCTCCAGCACATCCTGCCCTGTGTCACTAATACTATGGGATGGGCCTGCGCTGGGCCTGGGTGCTGCTTTACAGAACCTGAATAATTTAGGCCCCGGCAGCCTGAGGTATCAGTTTCAGTTGCGCTGGTCCTATGGCACAGGTGTCCCAACCGTGTCATTACGCTAATAACAGGAAAATGGGGAGGGGCCACTGTCCTGCACTTCAGCCCTGGGCCTATTTGAGTCCCACCTGCTTCTTGTTCTGCTGAGGGCAGCAGGCTCACTCTGAGCCCAGGAACCAGGAGTGGAGGACGTGAGTCTGGGGCCTGAAATAGAAGCAAAAAGGTAGAATGGAAAGAGGCAGACACAGGAAGGTCAGGCCAGAGCCAGGGAGGCAGAGAAACTGTCATTACAGGGAGAAAGACAAAAGGAACAGAGAGGTAAAAGAGGGGATGGGGCATAGGACAGGACAGAGGCCGAGGCTGGAGGATGAAAGGACCAGCAGATGCCAATGGACCGAGTACTAAAAGGTGCAAAACAGAGTCAGATAACCAGAAGCCCCCAGAGAGCAGCTGGGCCCACAAGCCATCTCAGCCTTTCTAATTTCCAGGTAACATCCACGCCGCCTTTGCCAGCCAGGGCTGATACTGTCCTAGGTTTGGCCAGAAGACCTGCAGCAACTCTGGCTGTGGTAAAGCCATGGGGCCCACAAGGTTCCATCTCTGCCGTGGCCTCCTGCTCCTGCTCCTACTTCCTACAGGTATGAAGCTCAGTAAACCGGCCCTGGCCTCTCCTAGCAATGCTCTCATTTCTGTCAATTCTGAATCTCTTCCCCACAAAGTCTCTTTATCTTTCTCTTCCTACACTGGGAACGAGCTGTCTATCTGGGGAAAGTGAGAAAGAGCTGCTGAAGGGCGTGAGAGGAGACTTAACCTGACTGGGTGGGAGCAGAGACTGGGAATTTCCAGAGACTGGGATGGAAACTCCAAAGGGCCAGTGGAGAAGGGCCTTGAACATCAGGCCAATGCCTGCAACCAGGGGATCCCAGAGCAGTTTTAGGCAGGTACTTGCCTGGCGGAGATACACGTTTAAAAACTTAATCTACCAGAAGTGTACAGGCTGGTAGGACACAGTGAGGCTGAGGCAGGCAGAGTTGTGAGGAGGCTGCTATTGCTATCATTGTGGTGCAAGCCAGAAAGGAAGGATCCTGAGCTGGAAGGGAGACTGTGCAGTCAGGAGATGACTGGCAGAATCTGGAGAATCTGATGACAGGATTTGGATACTGACTGGACTACAGCAGGAAGAAAAGAGAATAAAGGAAGTTCCAACTTGATGCCATCAATAGGGGTACTGTGTGCTGAGATAAAGAACATGGGTAAGACGCAGTTTCAAACCAAGTGTGGTGGCACACACCCGTAATCCCAGCTATTCAGGAGGCTGGGGCAGGAGGATTGTAAATTTGAGCCCAACTTGGGGACATAACTGAGCAAGACTCTACCTGAAAATCAGCCAGCCAGCCAGGTGTGGTGGTGCACCGTGTAATCCCAGCACTTGGGAGGCTGAGGCAGAAACATTGCCAAGAGTTTGAGGCCAGCCTGGACTACATAGTGAGATCAAGATCAGACTGAACTATGTAGTGAGACTATCTCAGAAGAAAAAGAAGGAAACAAAATCAAAGAGCTAGAGGTGTAGCTCAGGGCAAAGCTATGGGTTCAATCAGCACAAAATATAAAAAGTTGGTTTCAGAGTCTGGAGGTGTAGCTCAGTGGTAGAGTACATCCTCAGCATATGACAGTCCCAGGTTCTGATCCGTGCTAGACATCTATGGCAGACATGGACCCCCAAAAAAGCAGATTTCTAAGCATGGTACAAGAGATGAGTTAATATTTTGGAGCTACAGAGCTAAAAATGCTTGAAAAAATTAAGCAGTGGACAGTAGTGCATATGGGTCTGGAACCAAAAAGAGCTTAAAAATGAGGGAGAAAAAAAAGAAAGGACAAGATTCTAAGGACAATCTTTAAATCAAGAACAAAGGAGAACTTAGTATATTTTCAGAAGAGGGAATGCCCGGAATGGTGGTCGCACCTGTGGTCCAAGCTACTCAAGGAGGCCGAGACAAGGAAGATGGTTTGAGCCCAGGTGTTCAAGGCCAGCCTGGATCAAACCAACCAGTGGAGGGAATGTTTCATAAGTAAAAAGCTTTGAGAGACCAGAAGGAGAGGATAGTAAGGACTGGGATGCCTGGGTAACAGTTTGGAGCCCTGGGCACATGGGGTCCCTCCAGCCTCTGTAGCAGGGCAGGCAGCATCCAGGTCCTTAGGGAGGGAAGAGAGATGAAGAAATAAGTCAGTGACTCTCCAGAAGATAAATCCGTGCCTCGGCCTCATTCATCCCTGCAGACAAAAGGGAGGAACCAGAGCCACAGCTAGAGGGAAAAAGGACCCACAGCAGGAGGACCACTGAAAAAGCTGCCAGGCAGTGGGATCGGTGACAGGGCTCTGGCTAGGGCACTGGGGGCAGGGACCCTGGCCTGCAGCCAGAGGTGGACAAACCTGACTGCTCCTACAGAGTGCTTTGGAGCTGAGGGCAGGCTGGCTCACAAGCTATTCCGTGATCTCTTCGCCAACTACACAAGTGCCCTGAGACCTGTGGCCGACACAGACCAGACGCTGAATGTGACCCTGGAGGTGACACTGTCACAGATCATTGATATGGTGCGTTGTGGTTGTGGTAGAAGAGCTATGGAGTCTTACCTGTAAGTGTCAAGGCACTAAGGGATTCTCCTCCTGGCAAGTCTGTAAGTGTTACAAGGATAAATGTCACCAACTGCCAGGTGCCCACTGTGTGCCCTACACTATGTGCCCCTGGACTCACTGAATTCCCACGCAGGGATTATCCCCCCTACATAACGCTGAGGAACCTGAGGTCCAGTGATGAGGGAAATCCACCAAGGTCATACAACAAGGTCATGCCTGGGAGTGAAGTGGACTGCACAGGGGAGTCAGGTTTGGGGTGCTGAGCAGAGCCCCACAGGTCAGTGTGCACAAAGAGGGCAGGGAATGCAAATACACATGTCCACTCTCCGCCTTCCAGGATGAGCGGAACCAGGTGCTGACCCTGTACCTGTGGATACGGCAGGAGTGGACAGATGCTTACCTACAATGGGACCCTGATGCCTACGGAGGCCTGGATGCCATCCGCATTCCCAGCAGTCTCGTGTGGCGGCCAGACATTGTGCTCTATAACAAGTACGGCCTACCCGGGGCCCCCTCCTTTCCCACTCTCTGCAGAGTTGCCCTTCACCCTGGTATGCAAGGATTCCCCTCCTACCACCTAACCAAGTTGCTCTGGACACTTCACTCTGGGGCTCTTCTAAGCTATCAAGAGCTCACAGCCACCCCTCAGCAAGGTACCCCTGTAGGCTGACCCAGGACAACCTGGGCTGAATGTCTGCTGTGGAGCGGCTATAAGGGCCTTTCTCTGGCCCGCTCCACCCTTCCAGGCTAGCTCTGACCTCAAGCCTTCCTGGGGATCTCCTTCCTCCAGTCCCTTGATGTCTACAGCTTTCTTTTATGGCACCTGAACCAGTTCTGGTCTCATAGCCAACCATGGCGCTGCACAGCTTAGCCTCAGCCTCCTAAGCAATTCTGCTGATGACTCCCAAAGTCACACTGACGACGCAGTGTCATTGCTTTTGCTGTGAATTTTATACCCTACCTGGGCTGGAGCTGAAATGTCTGAGCCCTTCAGCTGCTGAATGTCTGCTGCCCTTCAGCCCCTCCGGACTTCGCAGGCAGAAGTGCAGCCTGTGGCGCGCTCCATCCTCGGAGCCGCCTGCCCGGGCCACAAGGGCGCCAGCAGCCCCAGGCCCCTGCCCAGGTCCACCCTCACCTACGTGGCACGCAGGCTGCAGTCGGGCGACTGATCACCGTCTCTGCCCACAGGGCGGACGCGCAGCCACCGGCGTCAGCCAGCACCAACGTGGTCGTGCGGCACGACGGTGCGGTGCGCTGGGACGCGCCGGCCATCACGCGCAGCTCGTGCCGCGTGGACGTGTCGGCCTTCCCATTTGACGCGCAGCGCTGCGGCCTCACCTTCGGCTCGTGGACGCACGGCGGACACCAGCTGGACGTGCGGCCGCGCGGCGCCGCCGCCAGCCTGGCGGACTTCGTGGAGAACGTGGAGTGGCGCGTGCTGGGCTTCCCCGCGCGGCGGCGCGTGCTCACCTACGGCTGCTGCTCCGAGCCCTACCCCGACGTGACCTTCACGCTGCTCCTGCGCCGCCGCGCCGCCGCCTACGTGTGCAACCTGCTGCTCCCCTGCGTGCTCATCTCGCTGCTCGCGCCGCTCGCGTTCCACCTGCCCGCAGACTCGGGCGAGAAGGTGTCGCTTGGCGTCACTGTGCTGCTGGCGCTCACTGTCTTCCAGCTGCTGCTGGCCGAGAGCATGCCGCCGGCCGAGAGCGTGCCGCTCATCGGTGAGTCCCGGCCCGCCGTGCGGTTGACAGAGGCCGCGCGATTTGGGAGGTTGAGGGCGAGGAGTAGGCGCCTTCCAGGGCGAACCCCTGCCCTTAGTGCCCAGAAAGGGCCAGTCTTTTCTCAAGGCTTTGGTGCAGGGAGATCTGTGCTCGCCCCCATGTAGTTTTATTTCATTTTAATTTGTGTGTGTGTGTGTGTGTGTGTGTGTGTTTTGAGACAATCTGGCTACATAGTTCAAGCTGGACTTGAACTCACTGTGTAGCCCAGACTGACCTCAAACTCGTGGCAATCCTCCTGCCTCAGCCTTCTGAGTGCTAGAATTACAGGTATAAGCCATCACCATCTTCCTCGGTGTTTTAAACAGGCAAAATGTGCTGGGCACTGGCTGAGTGGCAGGCTATCTCCTGTACACCTACATTTGAGGTGAACAGCACTACAACCTATAAAGTAGATTCTCTTATTATCCCAATTGCACAGAAAGAATCAGAATTTGCCCCAGATCATGTCCATGACTATTGGAGCCTCCTGAGGGAGAACAGGTAGCTTCTGAAAATTCGCCAGTAGTACAGGACTGGGGGAACTTGACTCTTACCTCCTTCCATCCTTGGAATTGATAGGTCTTGAGAGCCTCCTGGTGGGCCTGTTTGGATTTGTGAGGGAGGCAGCAGGGAAGCCTAGGACCCCCAAGTTCTTGTTTTGGGCCCCAACTGGCTGTCTCTCTCTTGCAGGAAAATACTACATGGCCACCATGACCATGGTCACTTTCTCAACAGCGCTGACCATCCTTATCATGAACCTGCATTACTGTGGTCCCAGTGCCCGCCCAGTTCCAGCCTGGGCTCGGTCACTCCTGCTGGGACACCTGGCAAAGGGCCTGTGTGTGCGGGAACGAGGGGAACCCTGTGGGCAGTCCAGGCCACCTGAGCCAAGCCCTAGCCCCCAGCCTCCTGCTGGCCCCCCAGCGGGCCCCTGCCATGACCCACGATGTCTCTGCCACCAGGAAGCCTTACTGCACCATGTGGCCTCCATTGCCAGCACCTTCCACAGCCACCGGGCTGCCCAGCGCCGCCACGAGGATTGGAAGCGCTTGGCCCGCGTGATGGACCGCTTCTTCCTGGGCATCTTCTTTTCCATGGCGCTGGTGATGAGCCTGCTGGTGCTGGTGCAGGCCCTGTGAGGGGCTGGGGCCGGATACTAGGTAGCTGCTGCAGCCATGGCACCTCCAGGCAGCCAGCTCCCCAGTAGGGTTCCTTCTTTTCAGGGCCACTGAAGGACTACTGATTTCACAGTCCACAGGGTTCCTTGTTGTCTGCGTATCCTAACTACTCCCCTAATTCCAAAAAGAGGAGGAACTCTAATAATGTCCATGCTTGTAGTTAGAGCTTTGGGTGGGGAAGCGCAGTTACTGCATAAGAAACAGCAGTTATGTTTCCTGTCTTGCTAGGCAGTTGGGACTACAGGACTTGGTCTTGCCATCCTTGCCTAAGGGTTCAGGGAAGGAAATTCATGTTTCCAGAGTGGGAAACCAAACAGACATTTGGCTCCAGAGTTTCCACCCATAATAAAGAATGTGTGCACCTGGCACCTCCTGATTTCCTGTCTTGCCCTTGGGGCCCGTGGTGGTAGAAGTCGAGGATCCAAATTTGTCTCTACAGACAGAGGCCTCGGAACTCATGGGTCAAAGCAGAAATTACGTCTTTGCTGAAAAACAGCCAGTATGCCTAGAGATAGCCCAGTTCTCCCTCTACATTTCTCCTGCACTATGTCCTCTGGAATTCAATATGGTCCACCCTATCCCCACATAGATGTTTGGAGAGATGGAACGTGTCAAAGTAGGGCCATTGTTGGCATCAGTTATTGTCAAGCATTGGTTCGTTTCTGACTCACTCAGTTGCTATGCTATCTCTGTGCTTCAGACCTGGTCTCTGTTCTCAGGACCTAGGGACTGAGACCCATGGGAACACTGAGGCAGGGATCCTTAACCCAGCCAGTGTCGAAGGCCAGAGGTGGCTTTCTGAGGAGTGATTGGGAGCTGTCCAGATAGGCAAATGAGGCATTTGAATCACACAAGTTCCATGGCCAAGTGCTTTCCACCCGTCCACTCTTCCAGTAAGATGAGGTCTCTTCTGCCTTCAGGTGAATGGCTGTCTGTCCTGGAGTCCTCTCACCTCCAGCAAGAGCCCCACTTCTAGTGCCCAAGGTTTAGTCCCTAGATTCTCTCCTGTGTCTCCACCCGAGGTCTGGCGGCTGCAGATGGCTTTACCAGGAAGCACGAGTGTGCTTAGAGCACACATATGGCCCATACCCGCCGGCTGGCAGAGGCTCAGGTGGGGCTGCTTGGTGTCTGACAGATCAGAGCAGGACTGGACTTGCTGGCAGGGCCTCCAGGAACCACAGAAACAGCAGCAGGGACCAGACTGCCGAGAGGGAGCCCTGATGCACGGCTTCAGGGAAAACAGCAGAGGAGGACGGGAGTTAGAAGCAGGGTGAGGACAGAAAGACACAACACTGGCATCACGAGTCAAAAGGACTGATACACACAGTATGCTAGGAGACGGGAAGGACAAGGATTCAGGAAGGAAGGAAGAGACAGGGATGGGTGAGAGCCCCTGCTCCCCACCCAAAGGCCATCACGTGTCACCTCCTGCCTTCAAAAGGTACAAATGAGACATTTCAGGGTGATCTGGGACATGCGGTGGGGACCTGAGCGGGTCCAAGTGATGCTGAACCTGGCCCTCTGCCCACATCCTGGTTGGAGACATGCTGGATGGGCTGTGGGGAATCAGCTGAACTTTCCCAATGTCTGAAGTTATGTTAGGGCTCAAAAAAGAGGCTCAGTTGGACACTGGAGACCTGGTTTCTGGTCCTGCCACTAATGCAGTAACTTTGGGCCAGTCACTTCTGCCTCTGATTCTTGCTTCACTGTATTGTGGTGTAGCAGAAAATGCCCCTGCCCTCAGCAGGTATACTTCAATTTGTAAGTTACCTAGGTAATGGTTCCTCTTCCTATTCTGGTAGCTTCTGTCTCCTAGAAATGGCTGGTCACTGTCATGCACACTGTACGAGCCAATCCCCAACTGACAAGCCATTCTGCCTCTGTTCTGCCTGCTTGCTAATCCACTGTAAGCCTTAGACCATCAGAGATCAGGGCCTCATATTCTGGGAATGATCCTAATCCATAGCCGTTGATGTAAAATCTGCCTGCAAATCCTGGTGTCGTTTCTGGGTTTCTGCTTGCTGCTGCAGTAGGGCTGTACCCTGCTTCTGTCTCCTGATAGTCAACAGTGTGGTAAAGATAAAGTGAGATGATGTCCAAAAGGGTGGAGTTCATCCTGGTGGGGTGGTCCAGAGTCTGTCCCTAGAGCCAGGCTGCCTGGGCCACACCCATCCTTACTAGCTGTGTGGTGTGAAGCTGGTTGCTTCTCCGGCCATTTCTATACTATGTAGAATGGGGTGATGGGGCTGGGGATTTAGCTCAGTGGTGTAAGCACCTGCCTGGTAAGGATGAGATCGTGAGTTTGATCCCCAGTACCAAAAAAAAAAAAAAAAAAAAAAATGGGGTGATGATAGGACTTGCACTAAGGAGTGTGGCAGGATTAATGGCCCAGTGTATGTGGAACTCTGCATACTGTTGTGTCGAGGGAGATGGGGGAGCAAAGCAGAGCCTGGGCGTCCTTCCTGCCCACTACTCCGAGTCTTATGGAGGGGGGCAAGGGATAGCCATGGGGTAGGGGTAGGAGCAGCTGTTTATTCTCCGGAACTGCCCTATTCCCACCTAGAGAAGTGGTAGCCCAGCTTGGCCCTGGTATAACAAGAGTTGAGGGAAGAAAAGGAGACCTGGGTGTCATTTAGTCCCATTTGCTTATTTAGAAATAAGGAAACTAAGCCCAGAGAAAGAATGGGTTTGTCAGAGAGAGATTTAAGGTAGAGCTGGGTTAGAGCTGAGTCCTTCACCTAAGGCCTGGTGTTGGCCTTCAAGGGCAGGTCTGCGGGGGTCTTGAGGACAGTGATAACAGTGTTAGTGATTCTGCAGCAGCCTGAGGGAGGACACTGTAGGGAGTAGCCTCAGTGCAGCCTGAATCCTTGGGCCTGACAGTGGCTTCTCCTATGAGGGAGGAGCAGACCCAGATAGAGAGCAGGTGGATCTGTTGGCCTTATTGCCACTTGGCACATGTGCATATCCTCTGGGAGAATTTAGCAAATACCACAAGTGTCTGATTAAAAGGGTTCAGTCTTCGAGCCCAGCATGGTGGCACATGCCTGTAATCACAGCACTCAGGAGGCTGATGCAGAGGATCTTCTTGAGTTTGAGGCCAGCCTAGCCTGTGAGGTGAGTTCAAGGCCAGTGTGAACTACACAGTGAGATCCTGTCTCAAAAAAAGGGGAGGGTTTCTCTTTTTTGATTAAGAAATGGCTTTTAAACTTAAAGAGGGGGGCCGGGGATTTAGTTCAGCAGTTCAAGAGCTTGCTTGGTAGGTACAAGGTTATGAGTTCGATCCCTGGTACCCAATAAATAAATAAATAAATAAAATAAACTTACAAGAAGGTGAACCAGGTAAGGGTCCAACCCCTGAGAACCCTGTTCATCGCAGAACTGAGCCCCACCCTTACCTGAGCTATCCAGTCGGCAGGGCCCAGATTTGCACTTCTTGTCTGGAGGAAAGAAACAGAAGAATCAGAGCCTCAGTAGCTCTCCAGGTGGGAAGGGCCCTGGGGCTCTGGCAGCCCTGCCCTGACCTACTCTAGAAAAGGCTGGTGTGCATCCCTTCATTCAGTTCACCTTCTCTTGGCTACATTTGATGACCCCAAGCCAGTGAGCATGCAGTGGGGCCAGAAAGGAGCCAGCCATCTAAGTCAGGGTCCCTTCTGAGCTGCCCCTGCTCCCTGGCCTGTGAGTTCACCCCCTACCACCTCACTTCTCCCACTCTCTTGCCTTGTCCCTGCCATGGAGGGCTAGTCTGTATTGTTGGCCTGTCCTCACCACCACGTCAGCTCCTGGCCACCCCCAGTACTGGCCAGATGGGATCTAAAGCCACGTGGGACCACTTTCCACTTTATTTCTGGTTATGATTTCAGCCAACTATCTAGTTCTGTGAAAACTGGGCCTTACGCAGCCAGAAATATCAGATTGCAACCCTTCCGAGATGACGAATACTAAACTGGCTATGGTAGCACATGCCTGTAATCCCAGCACTATGGGAGACTGAGGCAAGAGGATTGCAGGTTTAATCCCAATCTAGACAATTCAGCAACTTGGTGAGACCCTTTCTCAGAAGGGAGGGGGCTGGAGATGCAGCTCAATACAGAGATGCTGGGTGCAATCCCTAGTAGCACCCCCTGCCCCATTCTCATTATTCCTTTGCTGACAAGCTCAGGATCGTGGGGCGAAATAGCCAACACCTGCTGGGTCATGGTTATAACTGGAAGTTAGAGACACAGCACCCATCTACGTGCCTGCACACACAGCTGCCCAGGACACTACAGCACATCATTCATATTCTGCCTCATAAGAAACACTCTGGAGCCAGATGTGGTGGTGCAAGCCTGCAGTCCCAGAACTCAGGAGGCTGAGCCAAGATTGCTGGGAGTTCGAGGCCAGCCTGGGCTGCAAAGTGGGTTTAAGTCAGCTTGAACTGCATAGTGAAACCCTATCTCAAAAAAAAAAAAAAATTAATTAAAAAAATAAAAGGAAAACACCCTGGAAACTCAAGTTGGGGCTCTTACTCATGTTTGGCAAGAGCAGTCTGTGTGTTGATACTGCAGCTAAAAATAATTCCCTCCCAGCTTCTGGCCAGGAAGAAAAGCTGGTCCAAGACCCCTTGCCTTGGTCAGGGAGCCCTCTTCAGCTCTGCAGCAGGCAGATGCCGTCAGGGACTAGAAGTGCAGGTCTCTCCTTATATGGAGTGGAGGCGAGGCTGGTACACGGCCTGTTCTCCTCACTGCTGATGTGCTTTTCATACTTACGCACATACTCCTTGGCCTGGATGGGGAAGCCCACCTTTCACACGGGCGCCACTCCGTACCCTCCTCACCTTTGATGTACTCACAGTTGTACATGCTGCGCTTGCCCAGGGCCCGGAGGTAGATGCGAGCAGGGCCCTGGGCGGGTCGGCTGGCATTTATCACCTGGAAGGTTTCAAAGGGGGGGATCAGCACCTCTTCCTCTCCAGGGAAGAAGGAGTAGCCTCTGATAGGAGCTCCTAGACAGGTCCAGATGCCAAAGAAGGTGTCCTCTCCAAACTGCTGCGCTGCGACATTCTGCAGGGAAGCAGAGGCGAAGCCTCCAAGCCTTACTGTGGCCCCAGGCCCTGCAGGTCGAAAACGCATGCCACGTACCCCTCGGTACACCTGGTGGCACCGGGGTGGACGCTGGCCTGTGGCCAGCAGCTGCAGGGCCTCTGTGAGCAGGAAATGGAGCGTCTTGAAGGAGAAGTGCTGGAGGTAATGGGCCCGGGAGCGGCCTGCCTCCCGCACGGCTGCATTGAACTCCTTGTGCAGGGGGCTGTTGGAAGTGTAGGCCAGGAGTGCCACCCCATGCACATCCCGGAAACCAGGAGGCGGTGGGGGTGGCCGGGTAGTACTCAGGCCCCATGCTGGACCCCAGGCCTGGCGCTCCTGCCACTGGCTGTTGGCCAGCGCCCAGCCTTCCGCGTAGACTTTGTTGGCTTGGAACTCAGTGTGGTTAAGTTCTGGGAGGGCAGTTGTCATGGCTGCTGCACAGCCCACATATTGATCATCAAAGGAGGCCAGGGCCATGTCCAGGGGTGTTTCTTGAGAGAAGATGTCTCGTCGTGTGAGAGAGTGCCTTTGGACATGAGGGAGAGATGATGGACCCCTGTCACCCTGAGGTAGGATAAAAGAAATATAGATAGGAGACAAAGAAAATCACAACTACCATTTTTTTTTTTTGTCTTTTTCCTTTTTATCGGTACCAGGGATCGAACTCACGACTGCCTGCTTGCAAGGCAAGCACTTATGCCGTTGAGCTAAATCCCCAGCCCACTACCATTGTATTTTGAAAAGGCTGAAACTTCTGGGACCCAGTAAAGTCAGTCTAGGGTATCCATAGGGGATTCCCTTGGTTAATTTAGATTCCTTTCCTTCCACACCCATCACATGCAGAATACTTAAAGAATATTCTAAGTCCTTAAATTGGTTTAGTTGAAAGAGTAAAGTGCAGAAACCTGAGCTTAAAAGAACAGAGAATTCAAAGAATGATTAAATTATCCGATACCTTTAAAAACTAAACAAAACCCTAAACTGAGCTTCTACCTGTAAAAAGGGCCAGTACCCTTCTGGGGATGGACCAGCTTTACCACAGTTTTGTACCCTCTGGAGAGAAACATAAATGTTCCCAGTTTCAAAAGAAAGCATGCCTCTCTCAAGGGTCTGCTCTCTTTCTCTCTGTGTGTTTATAATTTCCTCCAATAAACCCCTTTATGCCTCTTGCTGACTAGCCTTAGATGTTCTTTTCCCATGATGGGAGTCAGTAAATCTACAACGTACTCTACAGTAGGATGGAGAAGGTGAAGGAGACCATACCTGAAGGGCATCCATGAGGCCCACAGACACAACAAGTAGCAGACACAGCATGGCAGGAATCTGCATGTTGGAGCTGAGCCTGGGCAAGTTGGTATCTCTTTTGGGAATCTCGGTTTCCTCATCTGGAAAATTGTGGTGTTAATCTGTACAGTTTAGTAAACTCACACTTCATGTGTGCCTCTCCCAGTGCTTGACACAGAGCATCAAAAGATAGAAACAGGGGCCTGGAAGGGGGGAGCCTTCTTGTTGAAAGGAACATAGGAGACTTTCTGGAGGACAGAATATGTGAACAGGGTCTTGCAGGATAAATGGGAGAAAAAGATACTGTTTGAGACTGGGAGAGAAAAAGCTAGAGTTTGGAGAGGAAAGGGGTTTGGGAATCAGCAATAGACAAAATTAAGGCATCAGAGGGGAGGACTCTGAGGATGTGAAGTGAAGGATGTGTCTAGTCTGGCAGAGCTTGCAGTGAAGAAATGTTGGGGATTAGACCAACTAGGAAGGGACTTAACTACTGCGTGAGGAGTCTGGGCTTCACCTTACCCAGGCCTGAGGCCAGAGCAAGGAGGGTTCTAAGGTCAGAGGTGGGATCAGAACTGTACTCCAGCGCCACACTGCGGGCAGGCCTGGGGGCCAGAGGGCCTCTGCGCTCTCTGAAGCCCTGTGGTGCATGAAGCCATCCAGCTGCTTCTTCAGCTGCAGCCAGGGAGGTACAAAAAGAGACTCCAGGGTGCCAAAAAGGGGAGAGTAAGAGGCTCCTGCATCCCTAAGGGAGTCAAGAAGATCTCAGCCTCCTGCACCTTTTAGGTGGGCACACGAAGGGCCCAAAGTGCTCTAAGAAGAGGGCCACCTGGCGCTGAGTCAGTTTGGGACACAGTCTCTAAGCCAGCGCTGCTGCTGGGCTGCCCCAGCTGTTTCCTCTTTTTTCTCCTCCTTTTTATTTTATTGCAAAGTAATATCTGTTTGCAGTAGGGAAAGTGGTTATATGTCCGTGGTCATAAATCCAAGGCTCCTTCGCTCCTTCCTGCCATTTTCCTTTCCTTTCCCTCTCTCTCTCTCTCTCTTCCTTCCTCCCTCCCTCTCTCCCCCTCTCCCTGCCCTTCTCCCTCCCCCTCTCCCTCTCTTGCTGTCTCTCTGTTTTTTCTCTCTCTCTCTCTGTCTCTGAAAAAAGAGGGTCTCAGTACAGGCTGGCCTTCAACTATGTAGTCCAGGTTGGTCTTGAACTCAGGGCAATCCTGCCTCAGCCATGTAAGTGCTGGGATTGCAGGCATGTGCCACCATATCTGGCTCCTCCTTTCTCTCTCTCCACTTTCCTCTCCTTCCCCAGGCGCAGCAGCCAGTGGAGAGAGAGTGACCAAAGATATGGTGGCTCTCAGGACCTTTCTCAGCATATTCAAATCATATCATATTTATGTACACATATACATATATAGTTTTCTGTATGAGGCCTGTTTTGTATTTTGTTGTTATTTTTAAAAAAAGGGTCCGGGATATAGTCCAGGGCCTACCTGACAAGCATGAAGTTGTGAGTTTGATCTCCAGTACAAAAAGCAAAAAAGGACTGTGTTGGGGACCCGGCTATGTAAGGGTTAAGTTGCTGACCACAGCTGAGGCAACCAAGGACACCGGCTCTCACTCCTGTTTCAGGGCAGTAATTGTCACCCTTAGAGAAGACAGTTTTCTTACTTGGCAAAATTTGCTGTGAAAAAGTCTTTATTCTAACTTCTCAAGGTCCTGGTCAGTTTCCCACCTTTCTCTCGTGCCTCCCAAACTTGTTTGAAACCCAGTAAGTACAAGCGATCCAGAGAAGTCTTTGTTTTAGCACCAAAAGAGTTCTGAGCATCCTGGACCCCACAAACCATATTACTTTCTTATTTTATTTAAGCCTTTGCCAAACACTTATTTTAGGATATTGGGGGCCTGGCCAAACTCCTGCTAGGAACCCTCTTAATCCTCACACACACACATCCTTTAGCCCCCTCCTCCAGAAAGCAGTGCAGCAAGGGCTTCTTTCCCACCAGTTCTTAATGAATCCCCCTAATTCATTACAGGGGCAGCACAGTGTGTTTCATGGAATAGCTAAACCTTACGTCACATGTTTAGATTTGTTCCTAATTTTTATATATTATATATAATCCACAGTGAACATTCATTATATAAGTTCATATTTTGTAGAAGTAGAACGAGGTTTGAAGGATATGAGTATTCTATTCTGACAGGCACTACCTAGCTGCCATCCAGCCTGACATGGTGACACATTCCTGTAATTCCAGTACTGAGGGAGGGTGAGGTGAGAGGATTGTAAATTCAAGTCCCTGGGGGTCATCTGGGCAAGTTAGCAAGATCTTGTCTCAAAGTGTAACAGAATAAAAAGGCTGGGAATGTAGTTCAGTAGGTTTGATTCCCAGGGCAGCAAAACAAATTGCTGTTCACAAAGTACCGGCTGAGCTGGGGATTTAGCTTAGCAGCGGAAGTGCACAGTCATGAGTTGATCCCCGGTACCAAAAAACAAAACAAAACAAAACAAGTGGGTTTGAAAAGTACCATTTTATAGCCAGGTGTGGTGTCACACTCCTGTAATCCCAGCACGTGGGAGGCTGAGGCAGGTGGATTGTGGCAAGTTCGAGACCAGCATGGGCTACAAAGTGAGCCCAAGGCCAGCCTGAACTGCATAGTGAGTCCCTGTCTCAAAAAGACAAAAAAAAAAAAAAAAAAAAGCAAAAACTACTGTTTTACTGCTTCTCCCCACACACATCAAATGAAGGAGAGTGCCCTTTTCTCCACATCTTTGCAAATGTTGGATATCTTTTATTTCTGTTTAAGTTTAATTTAACTGGTTCTGGATTATGTATATAATCATGTTACTATCAACACAAAGTCATAAATAAATCTTTATCTCTACAAGTTTTCTTGTGTGCCTTTTAAAATTTTGGGGGCTGGGGATTTAGCTCAGCGGCATAAGCACCTGCCTTGCAAGCAGGCAGTCGTGAGTTCGATCCCCGGTACCGATAAAAAATAAATAAATAAAATTTTTATGTCATTTTGCTGTTATATATGTGTGTGGTGAGAACACTTAATGTGAGACTTACCCTCTTAATAAATTTTTAAGCTCCCAGTACATGATTGTTAATTATAGGCACTATGCTGCACCAGAAGACTCTAAAAGCACATCTTACTCATTGCTGTAGTCTATGTACATAGTGGGTGCTCAATAAAGACTGCATTGAGAATGCCTTGGACTTCCAGGAAGATGGTGGATGGTAAACAGCAATAAATCAACCTCTCCAAGATTTGGAATTCAGACACTAAAAAATAACTTAGGGAAGAACAGGAGGAGGAAGGTGGATCCCTGGGACCCAAGAAGGATCTGAAGGAAAAATTGGAGCTCACAGAGAAACTGAAGAGACAGACGTCAGCACAGAAAAAGAAAAGGGCCATCTGTGCTTTCTCCCTGGCTCCTGATGTGGGAAAGGAAGCTCTAATCTACAGAGACACAGTGAAAGTGGGGGACTGAGGCTGGGGATTTAGCTCAGCGGCATAAGTGCCTGCCTTGCAAGCAGGCAGTCGTGAGTTCGATCCCTGGTACCCATAAAAATGAAAAGACCAAAAAAAGAAAGAAAGAAAGAAAGAAAGAAAGAAAGAAAGAAAGAAAGAAAGAAAGAAAAAAAGTGGCGGGGGGACTGTGGAAACCTCCAGGGAGAAATACACTCATAGAATCCAGCAGTGGGTGCTGTGTTGGTGAGTTACTCCTCTCTCAGAGTGCTTGGTTGGATGTCATTGCAGGGTGGGGCCAACTGAAACCCAGGACGCAAAGTGGCTGTGGGTTGGCTTCACCTCAGGGGCCCCTGGTGTTAAACTCTCACAGTGACCGACTGAGGGCCAACCACAGTGACATGCAGAATCGGGGAGCTATAGTCAGGCTAGCAAGACATCCGAAGTGTTAAAAGCCAAATGCCTCAGGTCCCAGTCCCATGACCAGAGGCCAGGATCCAACTGAACCTTCCTGGATTTTGAAAGGATCAGAACTGGCACTCCAACCCAACCTACTGCAGACTCACTGGGATTGTCTGGCACAGATCTGGTCTGTGAATGTCTGTCTCTGTCAGCCAGTGAGGATGGAGTCACATCCTGAATTGGACACTGCCACCAAACTGTAGACCCCAAAGGGTAACAACAGGCTTGAAGACATGGAAATTTCTTCCCTTTTGTTTTCCTTCTAAGCTACTTTTTAAAATTTCTGTTAAATTTTTGGGGCTTTAGTGCTTTTTTTTTTTTTTTTTTTCAGGAGTGTGAACATTGTTTTTAGTTTTTTAGTTTTGTTTTGTTCTTGATTTGTTTTTTCCTCCACTCTTTCCCTCCTTTCTTCCTCATCAGTTTCCTGAGTCTGGGTAATCATCATTTGTCCTTTAATCTTGCTTATAATGTCTTTCTCTTATTTCTCTTTTCTTTCCTCTTGTTTCTTTCAAATCTTTCCCCCTTAGGGTAAAATTGCTCTGTTGAGAGGTATTTACTATATATAATTTTCTGATCTTAGATTTTCTTATATAACTATAAATCTTGTACCTGTGGTTAAAGGTGGCAAATTAACAGTTATCACAGTTGGTCATTTTCTAGTCTGGGTTGGATGCTGTTGTTATTTCTGATTGTACTACTTTAGCCAATGTGACATAGTTGTAATCTTCCTTTTATGCCAATACCAAAATTGTCTCAGGGTCATAAATAATACTATACTTAGTACCAAAGAACTGGGAACTAGGCCAAACAGGCTGTAACCTTTCATCCCTAATAAATTGAAGATGTAGGATCCTGGGGCAGACTCAAAGCTAAAAGCCAGCTATGGAAGGCAGCTTTTAAAAGTCATTTTCTGAAGGGATCTAATATTAGTAACACTACCCAATATAGCAATTTACAAGCCTCAACCCAAAACCAACAGCAACAAAATAGAAAATCAGAAAACAGAGAAGCAAGGTATAACCCATTATCTCCAAATTGCCCAAGGCAGGTCCCTGGGTCATTGAGGTATAAGATATCAGAAGCCACCCTTCTGAATTTTCTGCAATGATAGCAGCAAAAGTAACAAAACAAATAAGTCTCTTGACAAAACAAATAATTACACAGATAATTA